TTCAGGATTTTTTTAAATATTCCCTTGTAGAATTAAGAACTTAAAAAGTCTATACTATTCTAATTGGTATAACATAAACAAAAAGTAGTTTAATAAAATTTTGAATGTAAGAGACTAAAACCTTGTTTCATGCACAGTAAAGGGTACTTGGGGCGATAGGGTTAATCTAAATTATTCATTTCCAGTTATCTTTTATATATCAAATTGTTCTACTCAATATTTACTACTTTTTTCTATTAGTTGCTTTAAATATGTCAAATTTACAGTGTGTATCACTGTTGTCTTGTTATCTTATAGATGTCACACTACCCCAGTTAATATTAAACTAATACGTGATCATTCCCTTTTATTTTAATTATGTATCATCCATAGTTGCTAATTCTTGGCTTCTCCATGGCTCAAGCACTCACAAAAAAAATTATATGTGTTTGACACATTTCAGAATTAGTCCAATAAATGACATTACATGAAACTATTCGTCGAAAAAAATGCCTTACCAAAGACTAATATAAAAAAAACCCACTTCATCTTTTCATACTTGTATTCTATATAAAAATCACTGATTCTGTGCATTTATAGGTTGAACACCCAATGCACTGACTTATGTGAAGAAGTCTTGCTCAGAAAGTCATGGAATTTAAAGGGGAAGAGCCAAAAGAAAAAGAAGCATAATATTTATAGGTGTGGTGCCTGCTAGTAACATGGCATCTTAGCAGGTTGAGACAGTTTTTTGTTGATTGATTTAAATGGGAAAACATGTGGCTTATTAAGAGAGATATGACTCATACATGTAAAATTAAAGAGTTAATTTTAGTTATAATAAAAGTAGTTTAATTTAAAATGTTGCTTTGCTTCTACAGCCACCCCATATGATTTTCACACATGAGCACCCACCAAGAGAAACAAAAGTCAGTGTCTGTGTATGATTCTGCTATTTATGTTTAAATTTTATATTCCGTAAATTCTTATGTACTTATTTTTCAAATTTACTAACTGTTTTCTTATTATTTCAAATACATGGTTGTACAAATTAGTTGTGAACACTTGTAATTCATATATGTTTGTCATTTTTTGTAGCTATATTATACAATGATGTTGAAGCAGGGGTGTCACTTGGGATTGGCCCATAGGGCACCAAATGTATTTCATAGTGGCCTGAATCTGTCTTGCATAAATTGTAATATATTGCATTTATCTTTTAATTATTTTAAGTAGTAGCTGCTCCTACGGGCCCATGCCCTAAGTATTTTTGGTAGCTAGGGATGCCCTTGCTCTGAAGCAACTAATAAATTGTAAATTGAACAAGATTGGTCTCTCTTTTTATTCTCTTCTAGCTTTCTTAACTGTGTCCAAGGAGGGTATAAAGAGCGTTGATGTTGTATCTGTCTTTTTTTTTCTACAAGTTAAATATAAACTACTGCTTTATTTTTTATGTGAGATTTTGAGACTGTCACTATGCTTTCTTTAAATTTTTTTCTTATTTCAGACCATCACCATTGGCTCCTATATCATAGCTTCAGGATTTTTTAGTGTTTATGGAATGGCAGTGGATACTCTATTCCTTTGTTTCTGTGAGTAGTTTTGTTCTGATTTTTTAGCTTGTGAATAAGAAACTTTCTGTAATAAACAATTTTATTTAGCTTCAGATGTTTTTATCTCTTGTTAAGAAAAGCTTTTGTTATCTCATGAAAAAAAGTCAGTGTTTTTCTATTTTTAATAAGGTATTTTCCAAAAACTTTAAAAGCTATGCTATGATTGTAAGTGAGCAGATCATGTGGACCCTATAAAAATAAGTATTTTAAAAATGCAAGGTAATATGTGTATCATAAATCTGTAAGGGATTAAGTCATCTTTTAACTATCACATACTTTGTATTGAAAGAAAATAATATGGTTTCCTAAACAAAGTATTCAAGTTACAAATATACACATTTTGTAATAAGCTTATTTTAGGTTCATCAAATATATATTGGTGTAGTAATTTGAATTGTTGAAAGAGTGACTTACTAGCAAGCACTAGTTGTTAACCCTTTAATTCAGCTGGTAAAGCATTTGCCTGGCATATGACAGGTCTTTAGTTCTAATCCAAGGTGAGAAAATATATATATATATATATATTGGAAAAAATAAGATTATCATTTTGACATTCAACTAGTAGTTATCCCCAAAACCTTGAAATAATGAACATTTGGTGCAGATTACCCTTGTATTATTTTGTGCAAATATCACAAGCAAATAAATAGACATATATCTTCTTTTTTATTTCAGTGTACATTTATCAGAAGTTTTTGAAATATTGACTTAATTTAAAAATATGATCTAATTACATAAAAGCTTGAAAGATAGAGACCAAGTGAAAAATAGATGAATTCACTTTGACAACCAGTGATTTTTCAAAATAGAGCTTACTAATTATAGGAGAAGCCATATTGAGCTGTTTAACACTAAGTAGCTAAAGATCAGCCTGAAGAAGATAAAATATGTTGTAAGAATAAGGAAGTTGTTTCCTCTCTCAATTTATGCAAATTATATTTAAACTAGAATGAACAAGCTCTTTAAATAGATAACAAAGCTATGTTGTTGTTTTTTAGGCTCAGGTACTGGAAGTTAATACCAAACTAGTTAAAATTTTATAAAACAAAAGAAAAAACTAAAATGTTTTTGAACACCATAACTGATGACTTTATGATGATTTTTGTGATGATTCAAACTAGGCATCTAGGATTAATATTTATGTTTTTATTTCCTTTTTTCAAGTTCATGAATATGTTTTTAGGAGACGTATCAATCCCAAAGCTTTTCTCTTTATTTATAGGAGTACAGTGTAAAATCTACAAGTAAAATAGCTATGCATTCTGGCAAAATCTAATATTTAAATTATCACCCAGAGCAACAGCATGTAAAGAATTAATTACAAACAGGAATTTTTAGATGCTCTTACAGTTAATGGGACAAATAGAAAGTACTGTAAAGTAGTTACCTTGAAAGAGCCTGGTAAATTTTTCCTTATTTTAAATAAGACAAAGCCTAACTGTCTGAAATCATTCTTATAGAAATACCAAAGTATTAATGTTTTGCTATTATTAAAGGGTAATTTGTTATTTTTGTGTTATTATAATAAATAATTGTCATTTCTGTTAGATTATTTTTAATAGAACTGTAGTATATATATAATAATTTTACAGGATAACTGTAAGTATTGAGGGTTAATTGTACTTTATAAAAATAATGTTTCAGATTCCTTTATGTTCCTAGGAACTACTTCCAGTATTTCTTATGGTCAGTATGATTATCATGAAAATTCACTGTTGATCAGTGCTGTTATTTTCATTATAACAAACTTCTATGAAGAATAGAGAGAGGTCGATTTTAAACCACACATTGTAACAGATTTTCCATAAACCCTCCATTGCATGTGTACATCAACTTCCATGATCACATTTAAGCAAACTAAAGATACCAAAGACCATTGGATCTGCACCCAATACCATAATTTTCATTGTAATAAGCCACTGCAAATAACGTGGAGAGGTCAGTTTTAGACCATACCTTGTGACAGATTTTTCACATACCCTCCATATGTAAGTTACCTTTCAAAATCACGTTTAAGTAGACAAAAAGCCCATTGAACCTACACTGGGGGACTGAACATGTATGTGCAAATCATGTTTATAAAGTGTGATTAACCCTCTGTGTGACAGACTCCATCTGGTATATGTACCTGTTTTATAAGGCTTTTTCTTAGTAGTGTTTTTTTACTCAATAGACAAATTATACCTGTTATACAGGTGATAGAGCTAAACCTGTACATTGTGGTTTGAAACTGATATTGAAATAATCAGGGTATTGTTTTTATAATTTTACTTTTGATGACAAATATATGGAAAATAATCTATGTTAATACCTCATTCAATTCTATAGCTGTTGTAGTTATGTTGGACTGATTGTATATAAATAGACAGATAAATGCAATGTTTTTGTTCATTATAGTAAGATAGGATTTATTTGTATTATATTTGAAATAGCTTAAAATAATTAACTAGAAGTTGTTGTTTTTTTATAGTGGAAGACTGTGAAAGGAATGACGGATCAGAGGAAAAACCTTATTATATGTCTAGAGAGCTCATGAAGATACTGGACAAAAAGAATAAATTCCAGAACAGTGAATAAAAATTAAAAACAAGATTTCAAAGTCCAAAGTTAAATGATTAAGAAAAACTTTAAATTAAAAGTTAAAGCAAAAGTTGTAAGATAAATAAGACCACATTAATCACTGTTTTTAGTGTGTATTTTAAAGTAATTCTAAAGTTTTTTACTATGAGAAGTTTTATTTATTTTGGGTAGTTTGTTTGTGATTAAATATGGTAGCACTCAGTAAGAAACGACATTGAATATGAGATGAAACTTCACAAAACAATCATGTTATTTAAGTTTACAATTATTTGTATTGCATTGAGGCTTGTGATTGTTAGCAAAATAAATTTGATACTAATCTGCTTTCATTACAAATTAATGATTATATAAATTTCTGTATGTGCATGTATTTGTTTACCTCTTAAATTTGAAAAGCTTGACTTAAAAAAGTGACTTGCTGATATGCTTTTGGCTCTTTGCATGAATTTTGATGTTAAATGTGGAAAATATTTTTATTCAAACATTAACATTTTTTGGAGAAAGCTGATTTTTACACTAAGGGATGCAAGTAATATAAAAGTTAAGTGAACAGCTTATACTAAAAACCAGCCTTTGCCTAAAGATCAAGTACGTCCTTCATCTATCGAAAAACATTTTTGTCTGTCAGAAATTATTTTTATCAATAAACAGTATATACTTTTAAAAGGCTTATATATTATTTTTGTTATTGTAGTTAGGTGTTAAAAAGTTTTTACATTTTTTATTATGTCTTTGTTGTTTATTTGAATCTACTAAAATGTAATGTTAATTATTTAAATTTATTCAAAAACTTGTGAAATAAAATACATACATGCATGATTGGGTATATGCAGATATTATAATGAAAATATGTTTTTAAAGTTTGCTCTACACATTTATTTTAAAAATTAGATCCTCACATCTTCTCTTTAACTTGAACAAGTAAAATTATTTTCAATTATTTTAAAAATCATTAATAAGACATCTATCAGAAGAGTAATTTGAGAGATCATATTGATTATAAAAATGTTAATGCTATTGTTTATTTTATGTATATACAACATTATTCTGAATTGTCAGTATTATGTAAGCCACAATCTACTGTGCCTTATAACTTTGTAAAGAGTTAAAACTTACTGAAACTTCTTTTGTTTGTGTTTTAAGTTTGTAACTTATATGATTAAATAATTAATTTTATTATAATTTTATATTTCTGTTTTAAACTGTAATCTCCTGTTTTGCAAATACCAGAATTAGTAAATTATTCAAATTAAAATTTCCATTCTTCTCAGGGCTGGACATTGCATAGTGGTCAGCATACCAGGTTACAGGTCAGAAGGTTCAGGGTTTGAGCTGTGATATGTTGTTGAATAAATTTCATGCTTTCAGCTATGGGTGTAGCTCTATAGCCAGTGGGCACTGCTAATTGTTGCCCACTTTATCTGGTTATCAGCTCAAAATTAAGGATGATTATGTCTGAACCTTGAGGTCTCTATCCTAGCTGTTTACTCATGTGTTGCATCAGGTGCCATTCAGGCTGAAAATACCAAGTACCTTTCTACTTCCATAACTTTTTACTTTAAAATCTTTTATTTTTTATGAAATGTAAACCTTATTGAAAAGTGAAATATTTTATGGCTTTTTGAACTTTTTGTAAGTGTAGAAGATTTTTAAATTTAGCATAATATTGTGTACCTAGTTCTGAATAATGTCAAAAATACGGTCAAATAAGAAGTTTAAATGTTTAGTAGGAACAAAAAGAGAGAAAATGTTTTTGTATAACATTTTTATGGCTTAGAAATTATGCTGAATTCCACATGGTGTGAGGATATTTATATTTATTCACTAGATATTTTTCTCTTGAAGTTTGGTGTACTTACATGTGTATCTGTTGTTGCTCATTAGTTTTGTTTATTTGTCTGTAAGTATTCCTAATCACTCCATGTTGTTGAAAAGCTCAACAAACTTAAAGATTATGATTTCCATGTTGTTAAAAAGCTCAACAGACTCAAAGAGTATGATTTTAGTCTTGTTCTTGCATCTGGTTGTGACCTAGGTAACAACTGCTATCATTAATTCAGAGCAGCTTTTCTTAAGTCAAAAACGTAAGTCTCTACTAGTATAGGTATGATATAGAAAAACATTCACAATACAGATTATTAGTATATATAGTTTTAGAAATATGAATTATTTTGATTTCAGGATGTTGAGAATTTTTTACAGAATATAATGAAAAATGACTGGTTAGATAAACAAAATATTGTCTGTTGTAATTTTTACTTCACTTGTGTGCCATTAATTAAGACTTAAAAATTGTATTATTTTATTGTACATGATGTTTAGATTTCTGTACTATGTCCTATACAGGCATGTGATCATGGGCCAGTAACAAATTTGATGAATATTGGCCTGGGGTTAGGGAGCTGTCAAATGTGCCCCAACACTTCTATCACCAGATTTTTTGAATCTGCATTGGTCTTATCATTGAAGCTTAGAACATCAATTAGAATTGTAAAATAGTTTTAAATATACTGTCATAAGAACAATATATGTAAAAAATATTTTTTTTTTCTCAATGTTTCATATGAATAATATCAAATTTTCAAATGTTATACTTAAATAAAACTCCTGGTAAATAACTAAATTACATAATGATACAACCACCTCTCCTTGTCTTATTTCAGACATCAATTATGATTGAACTTAGTGAATTGATGTAATAAATCAAGGTGAATGAGAAATTTGTTTAACCCACTGACTGTTGATTTGATGTATAGGGTACAGTCTGCCTCCAGCAGATGAATATGATTGTGCTGTATACAGTGTACGGTTCACGAAAATTTCATGTGCATTTAAAGCAGCCACGGTCAAAGGGTTAAATACAATTGTCCTATCTTTGTAAACTGGTAGTTGACAGTTTTATTTCACATACCAGTAACAGTGTTAAATATGTCAATCTTTAGGCTAGTTATTACATGTTATTTCTTAAAATTAATTATTACAGGTAATTTTCTGCCTGGGTAGACAGTTTTTTAACCCTCAATTAGTTGCATGGTAAAATGGAACATATCTGGTTGCCTAGGGTCATTATGACTCCAATGTGGTATTTATATTATTAAGAAGCTTAAATTCTTATAATATGTTTTTTTTTTCCAAACCCATATTTGTAAGCAAAATAGAATAATGAAAGCCTTAGATTGTGGCTCACAATATTAAAAAAACAAAATGCTAAAACACAAGAAAAAACAAGAAATTCAGTCCACCAATTAACACATCCATAAAATAACATTTAATGCTACTTTCTATTGATCATTTTAGTCCATTTTATTATCTGCACCTTGCATATACATAATAGTCATATGTTCCTTGCAAGTAAAGGCATCGCACCTTAGACACTTCGTTGAACATTAATTGTCTTATTTCCTAGGGTACATTTTGAATTTTCCTCTCGATGGTCCTGCTTAAGAGTCAGGCTGCAAAATTTATTTGGGCTATCCTTGTTGAAGGCGAATTCTCTTTCTGAGATCCCTACGTATATTTTGGCTCGAGTGGCTTGGTAGTTTTCAGTTGAAAGATGTTTTAGAATGATTCTTCTTGTCATTTTGTTTTGATCTGGTACTTTGAAGTTGTATACAATACATACATTGATGGCAGCAACATTTACTAAATGGAAAAAAACAGCTAATGGCTATCTCTTTGTTCTTCTGCCAACATTGTAATTAGCACAGAATTAATCACATGTATTAACACCCCCTTTTGTATTAAATAAAACAACTTTAGGCTTTCTGATATCTGTAGTATCATCAATTCTGGCATCATAGTGCATGCTTGATATGAGTATAACAGATTCATTCTTGTTTGTGGCATGTGAAACATGTGTAAGATCTTCCATGAAACCAAACATGCTGCTTGTAATTTTCTTATGTTTGTTTGAGAGGAATACAATTGGAATTTCCCTTTTATTTGCATATAAAGTTCCAACAATTGTCAATTTATAATCCATAAGAAGAGATCTTACAAGTGGTATACTTGGGTACCGATTATCTATGGTAACATTTCAGTTTTTCCCTTTCATTGGCATGACTAGATGCTGAATAATTTCTTGTGCACTATTCCCCACTACAAATGGCCCATTTGGCTGAACACAGATATAAATTTCAATCTTCACAAACTACTATCACTTAGGATCTACTAAAGCAAAGACCTTTATACCATTTTTGTTTGGCTTGTTTGGAAGGTACTTGCAAAAGCTGCAGTGACCTCTGAAGGGAATGAGTTGTTCACTGATAATCACATATTCCAATGGGGATATATTTTTTCAGTTTTCTGATAGTACATCAATAATATCCTTAATAGGAGCAAGTTTGTTAGAGTTTTTTGTACCTCTCAGGTCATAACATCTTTGAATTGTATGCATCTTAACCAAAACAGAAATCCTGTTGATGATATAGTCACAGAGAACATCTCAGTTCCCGTACCATCAATGGCCCATAAATCTTTGAAATTCAGATGAGAGACCTCATCACACCCAACAAAATAAGTTAGCCTATAAAGGCATGCATTTCTTCTTCAGATGTTAATTTTGCATCATATTCTCTACTACTTTTCCAATGTAAATATTTGTGTTCTTATTATTATGTCACAGATATGTTTATCAAAAAATAAAGAAAAGGCCTCAAAGGGGGAAGTTGCATGCTTTCCATAGCTTCTAGTACCAGGAAGATGAGTGATTATATTGTGATATCTAGTTCTTACACATATTGAAGGAGAAATATTTTTCCATTTTATTTTCTGGTCTCTGTTTATATAAAAAGAATATGCTTGCTTCTCAGTATCTTCAGAGCTTTCCTCAGAAGTAATCCCCAGTTTACCATCATTGTTGTGGTCACTGTACTCTTCAAATGCTTCATCTGCTTCTTCATTACTTCCAGCTTTATGCTTCTCTTCGTCACTTGCTTCATCTTCATACAGGTATTTCTGTATTGCAGTGGCAATAAATCTTTTCTAGCCATCTGTATAAAATATTAGCCAAAGTGGTAATATGAAGATGTACAAGAAGTAATTAGATATCATCTAAAACAAATGATTAAATACAGAAATGCCAGAAAAAGAAGAGATATAGAATAAAACAAAAGACATATTTTAGCCATAAACTAAGAAAAGCACAAAAAATCAAGTAAATTAAAATCACAGGAAAACAAACTAACCTTGCAAAAAATTATAACCCAAGTAGTTGAGTGGGATACACATGACCCCAGTCTAAAACTTTGCAAAAACATGATGAACACTGCAACATGGACAAACACACAATTAAGGAAGCTAATGTGGGCAGGGCTAAGTAAAGAGGCATGTATCACATAATAATTAATTAAAGAAATGCATGAGGTGATAATTACCCCACATGACTAATTGAGGGTTAACTATATGGCAGTGATAAAATCAAATTATTAAAACTAAAATCATAGTTTTAAAACATAATTCTGTGAGATCTTAAATTATGCAAGAAACTAATTATCAGTGTAATATACGTTCTTACAGTTCCTTTCAGCATACCTGCTGGTGGCTCAGCAATAAGTCTGTAGGCTTATAATGCTAAATATTAGGTTTTGATACATATGGTGGGCACAGCACAGGTAGCCTATTATGTAGTTTTGTGCTTTATAACATACCTTTGAGCTTGCATATTTTGGTTTACTTAAATAAATACAAATGTACT